CCAATCGATCTCACTATGGATCTGACAGGCGGTCCCGCTATCGGTCTCACATCTGGATTCACTGTCGATCCCACAACAGTTCTCACGATCGAACTCGATTCGGGGGGCCGCCCAGGAGTGGAGGGTCCACACCATTCGAGGGCGGCCAAGAAGGGGTGGTGGCGGAGGGGATAGATCTCACGGCCGGGGCCATGACATCTCTCCCGATGTCATGGGCCCTCTCTTCTTCTTTCAATGCACCCCCGTGGTCCCCCCATCGTCCGCGCACCTGCCTCGGGCCATGCTTTGCGACCCCCCTTCTTGGACGCCCCCCGCAGACGCCCCAGAAAGACTCGCCACCCCCACCGGTGTTACGGGCACGCGTGTTCCCAGAGCTCAGAAACGCTGAGATGTTGCGCTGAATGTGAGCATGCTTTGTCAGTGCGATGTGTGTATAGCACGGGGCAGCGGTTATCTTGAAGAATTGCGGAGGGTTTGATGCACGTTTTGCGGTGCAAATGGGGTTGGAAGACAGTATGCGGAGTACCCATGGGAGCCACAGCATTGTTCGAACGTGCGAGTGTTCCACACTGTTTGCTGACGGGAATTGGGAGGCTTCACTTCCAATGACCACACAAGCGAGGGCGTGAAAACTGTGGAGCTTGAGCACTCGCCCGAAGAGGACGGAGGGCGCACGTGCTACTTACTTGAGGCGGCAGTAGGAAGATTGCGAATTGTATCAAGATGGCGCAATACGCGCAGTCAATGAGACCACATATGCAATTTAGGGGGAATCATTCAAGGCACATGATTCAATCCTCTTCCCATTCTCCCTTGTTCGGCCTCATGTCTCCCTTCTTCGCCCTGCATCTTTCATACTCCTCCCTCCCTCCTTCCCCTACCCCACCGCCCGCCTCCACTATCGCCCTCTCCCTTCGTCTTCCCTCATCTCGGGCCGGACGACATGGTAGGATAGGAAAGGGGGATGGTACGAAATCTGCTGCACGCAGCTGGTTTCAGTTCCGCCGCCAGGCCCATGGCCTCGATACACGGGCGCCTCCCGGCGCCAGGAGTCGCCAGGAAAACCAGCTGCGTGAGCTGATTCTCTTCCCTACCCTCTGCTATCCTACCCTTTTCGTCTCCCCGAATCATCTCCCCCCTCTCCTAGTCCTCCCTGCCCCCCTGGCCCCTCGCTGCGGGCCCTCTCGTTTGGCTCTCCCGTTCGGCCCCCTCGCTCGGCCCCCTCGGGCCCGTCGCGCTGCGCGCTGCGGTCGCTCCCTCGGCCCTCCTCGGCCCCTCGCTCGCTCGTGGGCGCCCCCAGTGTGCTGATACCTGTTGCCCAGACCTGCCTCGAAGGATCGGGCCGGACGAAAGGGGGGGATTGGGAAAGGGGGGGTTACGAAATTTGCTGCATGCAGCTGGTTTCGGCCCCACCGAGGGGCCCATGCCTCGATACATGGGCGCCTCCCGGCGCCGGGAGGCGCCGGGAAAGTCAGCTACGTCAGCTGATTCTCACCCCCCCCCCTTTGCTATCCCCCCTTTCGCCCGGCCCGAGAGGAGGCGGGCCAGTCCTTGCGGTTGGCGCTGGAAGGATGGCGTGCGGTGTGGCGCCGCTGGCCCGCCTATTGCACGCTATCCCCCCACCCTGAGGACAGCGTGCACCGAAGAAGCCCTGGCAGGGGGGGATGGCGTGCACAGAAGGGGCCCTCGCGAGGAGACCGCCTCACAGGGACAGATGAGAGCGTGCTTTTCGGAGATCGATGTTGATCGCTATCTTTCAAACGCCAACCGTAATCCTTTGTTTCTCCTCCTCCTCCTCCTCCTCCTCCTCCCAGTGCGGCAGATGAGTCGGTCCTAGGGCGTTTGCTTGTGCTCGAAGCGGTTATTGGCCCGATGTGTGTCTGATCTGATCCTCCTCCTCCTTCTCCTCCTCCTCCTGCTCCTCCTCCTCCTCCTCATCATCATCATCATCCTCCTCATCCTCCTCTTCCTTCTCCGCAGGATTACTCGCCAGGCGCCGCATACCAGCTCTCTGCCCTCTTTGTAGCATCCCTCCCACTCTGCTGCCCCTCCACTGTTTGCATTCTCCGTTCCTCTCCCCTAAACTGCGCGGCCTGGCGCCGCCTCACGGATGAGCGATGAGGTTTCGCGTTGCGGTGGGACAGTTCTCATTCTTCCTCCCTCTCCTCCTCTTACTCATCCTCCTCTTCATCCTCGGGCCTGCCATTCTGCCCAATATGCTCTGTATATTCTTCGTTCTTTGCCTCGCTGTCCGTTGTCGCTCACAGAGGGGGGGGATCGAGGAGCCACTGCCCACTCCCTCCCAGGGAGCGCTCTCATCTCAGCCCTTCCCGAGAGCCTCCTGTGCCACTCACCGGGGCGAGGCCTGGGTGGCTGTGAAGGGCGTGCAACAGGAGGGGCACGGGCATGTGAGGAGACTATGGAGGTTGTCTGCTCCCTTCTTGGAGGGGGGGTGGCACAGGGGCTCTAGCCAGCGAGCACCAGTAGCCGCCGTAGAGCCAGAGACCACACAAAAAAGCAGTGAAAGGAACATGCGATGAGAGTCGCGCGCTGACACCAGGACCTCAGTGCTTCTTCCCCTCGCCATGTCACCTCCCCCCATCTACCGCTCCTTCTCCCTTCCCCTCCTCCCTTCCCCTCCCGGGGGAGAAGGGGGAAGGGGAAGGGGAGGAATGGAGTGTGTGGAGAATGGAGCGAGGGGGAGAAGGGGAGGAATGAAGCGAGGGAGAGAATGGGGAGGGGCGGAATGGAGGAGCCAGCTGGAAACGTGGGTGCCAGTTGTCAGACAAGATGGGTTTCCCTTGCCTTGCCATCTTCGCGGCTTGGCTGAGGACTTTCGGCTCAACAGCACCTGGGATCCTGCCGAGCTGTTCCTTGTGTGCCTGATTGGCCGCTTTTTACATGGCTTCTGCTTCAGGAGGCGGTCCTGCTCCTCGGTAGAGATACCCCTTCTTCGACAGAGCCCACCCAGAGGGCCGCGTGCACAGGGAGGTAGTGCGTGGAACGCGCTGGAAGAGGGGGAAGGGGAAAGCGAGGGGTGGGAGCGGGGAGGACCCAGGACTAAGGACTCGTATGTCCGCGAATCAATCCCATGATGGGATCATTGCCTGGGGCGTGCACAACGCTGAGACGACATGCAGGCCAAAGTGCCTGGTGGAGCGGGCACTGTAGGATACGAGCAGGGCGAAGACATTGAACATCCTAGCTCAGAGGAAACGGACGGGACGTCCTCGCATTGAGCGGAGGGACGGAATGAGACCTTCATGACGCTGCATGAAGCGTGGAGGAAGAAGGGGAGGTGGAGGAGGAAGGGGAATGGGGAAACGGGAGCTGATGGGAGTGAGGATAGGGCAATGCGAGGGGAGCGATGGCAAGGGTGAGCATGAGGGTGAGGACGAGGGAAGCGAGCGAGGGTGATTCCCGAGCAGGTGGAGGAGGACCACGAGGACGAGAAAGTCATTCGCGCAGTGGCGCCGCGCACTTGCGCGCCGCTAGTGGGCGAGGAGGCAGGCGAGGCGCTACGGGGCGGGGGGTCCTGGAAGCTGTTTTGCAATGGCGAAGAAGCCCCGCCCCTGCAATGCGGGCACGCGCGCAGGGCATTCGCCCCACTGCCAGAGTTCTCATTGGGACGGAACCATGCCTGCCCATTGCCCAGGGTATCGGCCCCTGCCTTTTGCCCTGGGTATCGGCCCTTTACGCGTACGACAAGACCAGACCACGAAGACGACGAGGAGAGGGAGTACGATCGTGAGGATGAGGAGAGGGGGGGAGAGGGTGAAGGAGGGGGATGAGGAGTAGGAGGGAGAAGGAGGGGGAGGGAGATGTGGGTGCGGTGGAAGGAGTTGCTGGCGCCTGCCGAGCACCTGCCCTACCTGTGGGAGATGAGGAACCTCCCTTGGGTCAGGAGGAGCTCGGTATCGGGAGCAGCCGTTTCCCTCCCCTCCCCCAGCTTTCAGCCCTTCTGTTTCTTTCCTTTCGTTTCCCACTCTCCTTGCCATCCGGCCGCGGCTCGGCTCCACCTGCTTCCAGGAAGATCTTTACATCTCAAGCAGCACATGTGTATGAGTATACGTACATAACGATGTGTACACACGCGTCCATGCACAACCCCACCATATCTCTCCGTGGCATCCCCATGAGTTTTCCTTGTCTCACTCGTCTCCTCCTTCCCTCCCTTCCCTAAAGGAGGAGGCGGAGGAGAAGCAAGAAGGACGATGATGATGAGGATGATGAGGAGGAGGAGAACGATGAGGAGGAGGAGGAGGAGGAGGAGGAGGAGGCAAATGATGTACGAGTTACGAGCGCTCCGACGAGGCAGTGTGCGGAGGAGGAGGAGGAGGAGGAGGAGGAGGCGCAGGCGGCGGGAGGAGGGTGGAGAAAGAGAGGGGGATGATGGAGAGGGGACAGGAAGAAGAAAAAGGCAAAGCAGGATGATCAGGAGGCGGGTGAGGATGTAAAGGAGGAGGCCAGGGCAGAGATGAGCAGGAGGGAGAGGAGGAAGATGAGAAAGATGATGGGGAGGAGGACGAGGTGGAGAAGGAGGAGGAGGAACAGGGTGCTGGCGGGCCAGCGGCTGGGAGGGGCTACGGGGGCCACACCACGGCTGGTTACGGGGACTCTAGCTGGCATCAGGGCTGTTTTCCAGAAAGCTCACCACCATCAGAGCTCGGACTTCGGTGAGTTGGCAATTCGATTTCGACATGGGCCAGCACGTCGAGAAGCAGGTGAATCAGATGCGCGTGATTGTCGAGCAGCGCCCTGATGCGCAAGATCATCAAAAACGCCGTCGGCGATATCCACGAGGTGCGGTTTGCCTCTGAGGGCACAGGAGACTATCAGAAGGGAGCGAAAAGCTGGATCACACGATCCAGCACCAGAAGAGTGAAAGACTAGCCGCGCAGCTTGTCCAGACACGGTCACAGGGCCGCCTGGTGATCGGGCATGGGAGTCCCTAAACGACGGAGGGCGAGGGCACGACCACATTGGCGTTCTAGTGCGCGATGCCGTCCGAGAGGCTAGCTTTGGCGTGCCAGCTCGGCATCCTGGTGGTGGAGCTCTGCGCCCCATCAGTGGCATCACTTGGCCCCCAGTGCATCCCCGGCCAGCCTGGCTGGGCGCTTTGCAGTGCCTCCGACCTCCGGTCGCTTGTGGCAGCCACCGCCGCACCATGGCTTGCGGACGTGCGAAATGGCGCCACTGGCCGCCGCACCGGCTTCTTGCTGGCACCACCCGCTCTGTTGTCGCCCACTCTTGCCGCCCGCGCTCGGAGCAGATCCTTCCTGCCGCGATCGGGGCGAACGCCAGCCCCTTCGAGGGCATCAACGAGGAAAAAGCAACCATCTTCCATCGAAAACGGTCGGTTGCGGCGTCGCCGCGACGGCACAGGAGGCGCCTCGAGTATCCACAGGAGTGCGCGTGCACGGCCGGCCTCGGGGGGACCTCACCGCGGACGACGAGGCCGCTGCGCAGGAGGCTCTTGGAGTGGGTCTGGGATGCAGTGGAGACCGAGGCGGCGGAGGGCACGGTGGAGTTGGCCGACGGCAGAAGTGCTCAGGCTGTCGCTGGGGCGCTCAACTGGCTTTCGGTCCGGACGAGGCCAGACATCGCGCGCGCCGCATCGAGGATGTCATCGCTCACGAAGCACTCCAAGGAGACGCACCAGCTGGCGAAGAAGGTTCTAAGGTAAAAGGTGCACTGCGGCGGCGAGGGCATCTTCTTGGGACGGTTCCAGGACGAGACCGACGTCACCTTCTACACGGACGCTAGCTTCGCGCGACCGGTCACAGCAGTTACTCTGGCATGCTGGTGTTGTGGGATGGGGTCCCAGTGTCATGGAGGGCGCCCGAGCAACAGATGAATGCCCTGAGCACGGCGGATGTAGAGCTTCAAGCGATGACAGCAGGGATGCAGATGGCCTTGGGATTCCAGGACTACTTGCGGTATAAAGTCGAAGCTCAAGATCTTCGCAGACACACAGGCGAGCATCGCAATGTTCAAACAGGGCGGCACGTGGCGGTCGTGCCATTATATGGCCAAGGCGAGCGCGATGAGGCAGGGAATTTCTTCGGGCTTGATATCGATTCAATGTTCGTGGTCGTCTCAATAGAAGGCGGACGTTCTGACTAAGTTTCTTCCAGGGCCGGTGATGGAGAATTTCTGTCTCATGTTAAGCATGGCGAGCTTCAAGAAGACATCTGGCGTGGAATTCGAAACGAGTGTTGGTGTCCTCCGAGAAAACCGACCATGTTCGGTCAAAAAGGGTCAGTTTCGACTTCCGTAGCCAGCTTGTAATTGCTAGTGTTGCAAAGGTTTGCAAATGCTCCAGAGTTGGCCACTCCCCCAACGAATTTCGTTTTTGCCAGCGGGGCCTGGACTTGGTGGCAGGATCCACTTGTGTATTTTTGCAAATGAGCAGGCGCCCAGGCAAGGAGGAATGTGAGACGGAAGATCGTCTCCTGAGAGTGCCTGGTATCCGTCCGTAGTCATTTAGGCTCAGAAACAGAAAGCTCGAGCCCGAGCACAGGGAAACGTAGATCCGTCTGTCTCACACCACTAACTACACCTTTACCTGTTCCTTCGCTGCCATCGCCGGCGTCAGAGAGATGAGTCTAAGAAGGAGGGGTGGGGGGGCAGGGAGGGACGGAAAAGGCGAGCGAGGGGAAAGGCAGCAAGGAGACGTCGATGTGCGGCTCTCTCCCGTCGCCCTTCCCTTGCTTGATGCTTGTCCAGCCCCCGCCTCGGCAGGAGAGTCCAGGACCAGTTCGCAGGAAGGTCGCCGCGCGGAGTGCAACGGCGCCTTTCGGCACCCCCTCTTTCTTCCTCGCCCTTCCCCTTCCCTGCCATTACGTCCTCGTTTGTCCCTTTCCCCTCTGTCCCTCTCTCCTCCCTGTCACCCTCCCCCTCCCCCTCCCCTCCATCCTTCCCGCCAGACCCGTCTCTTTTCTCCTCCTCCCTTATCCCTCCCTTCTCGTCTTTCCTCCTTTCTCCCTCCTCCCTCCTCTTCCGCCTCCTCCTGTTCGACGTAATTGTAATGATCCTCCCTGCTTTGCGTGCCGCTGCTCCTCCTAAGCCGCCACCTGTCCATGCTAGTTTTCGCGGGCGGGTTCCAGACCGTCTGTTGCACCTTCTTTGCGGTGATTCGATGCTGTCGTTTCTTTGTGTTGAGTATTATGATTATTACTCTTAAGGTTTGTCTTACATGGTTGTCTGCTTCGTCAACTTCGTATTTTTATAAGCGTAGTCGTATTTCTACTGTCACGACTAACTAGTATTCGTAATTTTCGTGATCTTATGTTTTTCATATCACTGATGCTGTGTACGACCAGATAGACTTTCGCGCTGGACGCGCCATGCGACTGATTGCGGGAGCATATGGACACCATCATCCGGGGCTCCGCAGACAAGTGCATGGATCGCCTCATGATCTCTCCGAGGTATTACGATGGGACGTATGGCACACCGCTCCCGTTTATACATTTGACTGCCGCCATCATGATCAGCAGCAGCAGCAGCAGCAGCAGCATCATCATCATCATCATCATCATCATCATCATCATCATCACAATCATCATCATCATCATCATCATCATCATCATCATCGTCGTCATTAGCATCCGCACCATCGGCATCATCAACATCAGAAGCATCATCATCAGCATCGTCATCACCATGATTATCATCATGATCATCACCATCACCATCACCATCACAATCACCATCACCATCATCATCATCATCATCATCATCGTCATCATCATCATCATCATCATCATCATCATCATCATCATCATCATCATCATCATCATCATCATCATCATCATCATCGTCGTAATCATCATCCTCATTATTATGATCATCAGCATCATCAGTATCATCTCTATGCCGTGCCCAGGTGGTGTTCGGCCGTGTGGGCGGAGCCGCACTTCGGGAGCGTAGACGTCTCGGACATCCCGTGCGCTTCTGCGTCTTCTGGCCGCCGCCTCCCAGCTCACCGGACGCCGGGGCGCGCACGTCCGCGGGCTGGGGAAAGGTATGATTTGTACTCCTCAGCCTCATCATCGTCGTGGTCCCCTTTCAACCCTCTCATCCTCACCATATCCATCTCCTCGTCCTGATTCTCCTTCTCATCATCACTAGTTCTTTGTGAACCCCCTATGCGCGTTCGCGCGCAAGAGGTGGTTTTTAGCAGCACGCACACCTGGGAATCGCAGCATGCCAATACTACACAAATTCTGGCACGTGATATTCTGGCTCACTCATCCGCTAAGGAACCCATTGCTCCAGAAGGTGCTTGAGAGCACGTTGCTCCAGTTGCTAGGTACTACCGAAAAGAAGGGGACTCGTATCGTTGCTTTCGAAGCTTTCGGCGAGCTGACGGTCGACTACATTTTGCGAGAGCACCGAGGAGCTGTGCTTGTCGGGGTCAACGCTGCCTTTTACCGCACGGGCCGTCGCGGTGGTTTCCTTCAGCTCAGGGATCTGCAAGTGCGAGCGTGTTTGCTGTTGCCGAAGCAGCGCCCATTTCATTCCGAAGGGCGCCTGAGATCCTTTCGCGGCTGCTGGCCCGTGGCGCGGGCGTCCTGGCCAGCGGCGCGGAGGGCCCACGTCTGTACACGCATGCCAGACCAGTGAGCTGTCGGCAGCTCGGCAGAGGCTGTGGACCTGGGCGACCTGCTCCGAAGCGCGAGGCGCAATGCTGGAGGCGGACATGCTTGTCGCGACCAGCACCGCTTGCTCCAGACTCCAACAGGGCGGCGCGGACTGAGGCACCGTCACGTTCACGCGACTCGCTGCTAAGGCGAGAAACACGGACCACCGCCATCGAGAACCAATCGAGGAGGGGGGTGGGCAACCCCTTAGCGCTGGTGCGCCCGAGCGTCACCCAGGTACCGGACAAGGCTCGGACGTGCCGCCGCCTAGGGGTACCCCCCCCCGATGGATTCTCGGTGGCGGTGGTCCATGTTTGTCAACAGAGATGTCGGTTCGGTCGTCGATGATTACAGGGTCCGCCCAGCCGTAGAATTTTCCGAGCGTCGTCCTGAGACAGCAGGAGTTGGGAACTGATCCTGCGAGCATCAGCATGCTCGACCTCCTTCGCAGTCATCTCACCCCTTTTGGGGCTTTCTAGCCCCGTGGGCTGTGAACTGATCAAGTTTGCCAGCACTCGTCTCGATAATGCGTCGCTCTCGTGCGTGCCGTCCCTCGCTCGTGTGTGCGTGTGCCTGTGTGTGTTTGTGTGCGCGACTCGGCTCCCTCGCGCTCTGCTCTCTTCGGCTGGTCGCGTGGCTTCGCCGCGCTGCTGCGCGCGTGGCCGCGACGCCGAAAAAAGTGTGGGTGTGGGTGTGGGTGTGTGGCTGTGTGGCTGTGTTAGCGTGTAAGTGTGAAAGTTGGAAAGCGTGAAAGGGTGAAATGTGTATGTGTGTGAGTGTGTGTGTGTGCTTGTGTGCTTGTGTGCTTGTGAATGTCTGTGGTGTGTCCGTGTGTCTGTGTCTCTGATTGTCTGTGTGTATGTGTGTCTGTGCGTCTATGTGTCTGTGCGTCTGTGCGTGATTGTGTATGTGTGTGTGTTTGTTTGTGTTTGTGTGCTTGTGTGCGTTTGTTCGTGTGTATGTTAATGTTTGTGTGCGCGCGCGTGTTTGTCTGGGTGTGCGGGCGTGCGGGCGTGTGTGTGTGTGTGTGTGTGTGTGTGTGTGTGTGTGTCTGTGTGTGTGCACGTTTGTGTGGGCCTGCGCGTTAACGCCTGACTTGACCCACTCCGCGCGGCCGCGCGAGTGGCCGCGACACCAAAAAATATGATGTGTGTCTGTGTGTCTATCTCTGCGGGCACGCGTACTGGGCCCAGCCTTTTCAGCACGCACGGCTCGTACGTACGAAGTGCGCAGTTGCGGGCAGTTGTTCCCCTCAACATTGCGTTGTTTCTGACTGGCGTAGCGCTGGCAAACGGCAGGCTGGGGTGGATAATTGGAATATTTCCGGCTACGCGTCAGAGTGACCTCTGGTGCGGGCACACAGCAGTCCCATCAGCACTGGCTTACGCGCTTGGGTTCGGCCGACCGACTGGCCCTTTCAAAGCTGCGCACCAACGGTCGCTCTTTCCTATAGGGTCACTCTTGCGTGAAGCTTGGCACCGCCAGCGGAAAGTCCGGGGGCAGGACGGGGAACAGAGCCAGGCCGCGTCGAGCCTGCGCGCACTAGGGAGGACGTCGACCACAATCAAGACGTTGAAACAGGGAACTTCTGGGTTTCGGCAGGAGCTCGCTGTTCTTTCGGTTCTTCCATGCTTGTTTCTCCAGCGCTCTTCATGCACAGCATGGCGGCTTGAGGCCATAATGGGGGCTTCGCCGCTTCGCTCCCCATGTGACATTCCTTGATGTAGAAACTTGACTGTAGTTGAGGCCCCATTTGTGTGTGTGTGTGTGTGTGTGTCTCCCTGGCCCCCCCCGCGCCACCGCAAAGGAGATTCGCGTTCCTTACTGTAGCAGCTTGACTGTAGTTGGTGAGAGCGCGCTGCTGGGGCCAGGGCCCCCAGCGGAAAGCCAGCGGCGTGAGACGGAGCCGAAGCCCCATTGTGTGTGCGTGTGTGTGCGTGTGTCTGTGTGTGTGTGTGTCCGTGTGTGTGTCTGTGTGGGTGTGTGTGTGTGTGTGTGTCTGTGTGTGTGGGTGTGTGTGGATGTGTGTGGGTGTGTGTGGGTGTGTGGGGGTGTGGGGGTGTGTGGGTGGGTGGGTGGGTGGGTGGGTGTGTGGGTGTGTGGGTGTGTGGGTGTGTGGGTGTGTGGGTGTGTGTGTGTGTGGGTGTGTGTGTGTGGTGTGTGTTGTGTGTGTTGTGTGTGTGTTGTGTGTGTGTGGTGTGTGGTGTGTATGTGTGGGTGTGTGAGTGTGCGTGTGTGTGCGTGTGCGTGTGCGTGTGCGTGTGCGTGTGCGTCTGCGTCTGCGTCTGCGTCTGCGTCTGCGTCTGCGTCTGCGTCTGCGTCTGCGTCTGCGTCTGCGTCTGCGTCTGCGTCTGCGCGTGCGCGTGCGTGCGTGTGTGCGTGGAGGTGTGCGTGTGCGTGTGCGTATGCGTGTGCGTGTGCGTGTGTGTGTGTGTGTTCGTTCGTTCGTTCGTTCGTTCGTTCGTTCGTTCCCCCGGCTAATGCGGGACGCCGTATCTTCACACCGTCTCAACCCAAACCGCGCGCTAAGGCAAACGATGCAGGCGGCGGTGGGTGAGGGGGAAGTACGTGGGTGGGGCACGGTCCGCCGTGCAGCCACCCAACACCAAAATACGCACCCCGCACGCCGCTCTTGAAAGCACCCAACCGCCAGGACCGGCCCCTTCCCCGCACTGGTGGAGCCAACCTACGCACAAACACACGCGACGCAAGACAACCACGGCGCTGCAGCCGGCGCTGCGTGCAGCCCGTGCTGTGTGCGCGCTGTCTCGGCGTGGAAAGCTGTCAGTCGGTTCCGGGTGGCGTGATGGGGCGCACCTGCACCGCGCGACTCCGCACAAGGCTCACGGGAGCATGTGGGCACGCGGGTGGGTGAGAGCGCGTATTTGAGCCACCCGTGTGCGTGTGCGTGCACAGCCAAGCCATCACACCTGAACGAGGGGCGCCCCACACTACCACGACGAGGACGACGACGGCGGCGACGCCGACGCCGGCGGCGACAACGACAGCCACGACGACGACGACGACGACGACGACGACGACGACGGGGAGGAGAAAACGAGGCAAGGCAGGAGGCAGGGGAAGAAGGAAAGGAGGCCGAGCGGGGGAGCAGGGGAAGCCGGCCCCCCCCCCAGACCGAGCAGGACCCGCACAGCGGGAAACCGCGAGCAGGCGTCCTAAGTGTGCCGATCCAGCCCCGCATCGGTACACTTAAGACGCCTGGTCGCCGGCCGCCCCGGCGCGGGCCCGCGGGCCCCCAGAGGCCGGGACGGGGAGACAAGAGGTGACAGGAAGCAGCACTGCGCCGTTCCGCACGGTGCAACACATCCACCTGGCAGAGCCGTAGCAGCAGCGCGTGCTGCTTGACCGGGAGGGTTGCCACGCCACGGACACCCGGCTCCATGGCGGCAGAGCTCAGGAGAACGGCGGACGACACGACCGCGACGAAGGACGACGGGAGCGACACCTCGGGGGCCGGGGCAAGTGCTCCAGGCACGGAGCCGATGGCTCCGGATGCCGCACCGCTACACATCACAGCGCAGCACAGCGCAGCAAGGCCGCGTGTGTGCGTGTGTGTGGCAGCACATCACAGCACAACATAGCACAACACAGCGCAACACAGCACACACTCCACATCACATCACAGCACATCACAGCACATCACATCACAACACATCACAGCACACGCCGCTTGGCGTGTGTGTGTGTGCGTGTGCGTGTGTGTGTGTGCGTGTGTGTGCGTGCGTGTGTGTGCGTGTGTGTGTGTGCGTGTGTGTGTGTGGGGGTTGTGCGTGTGTGTTTGCGTGTGTGTTCTGTGGTGCGTGTGTGTGTGCGTGTGCGTGTGTGTGTTGTGTGTGTTGCGTGTGTGTTGTGTGTGTTGTGTGTGTGTTGTGTGTGTTGTGTGTGTTGTGTGTTGTGTGTGTTGTGTGTGTGTGTGTGTGCGTGCGTGCGTGCGTGCGTGCGTGTGTGTGTGTGTGTGCGTGC